GATTTATGGGTCTAAAAGTAGTGGACATCAATTTAGAGATGAGTTGGAAAGACTTCCAACTGAAAACAGAGGAACTTTTTAACCCTTGGCTATCCGAAAGTGCGGGATAGATTGTTAGAGTTACTGCCGGAAGCAGTGACCAGATCAATAGTGAAGAATGGGTTGAGACTGAGACAAGAAGAATTCACAGGCCACAGGTTTGGAAGGTGTTGTCCTAGGAGCCTCCTTAAGTTGTTGCATTGCCTCTTGCAGATGGTACAGTTTGCTGAACGTGTGCTTTGGTAGTGCAGGTAATTAATTTTGAAGGTTTTGGGTGATATGTTGATGCTTACAACTTATCAGCCCAAGCCTGAACGTTGTCCAGATCTTGTTACATATGGAGTGGTAGATGGACTTTAATTTGAATAGATGCAAGGTGTTGCATTTTAGTAAGACAGACCAGTGCAGGACTTAGAAGATTGATGGTAGGCCCCTGGAGAATGGTGTTGATCAGAGAGACATAGGCGTGCAGGTATATAGTTTCTGGAAAGTGGCATCACAGATAGACAAGGTGGTGAACCACCTTGGCACACTTGCCTTCATTTGTCAGAGCATGGAGTATAGGAGTTGGGTGACATGTGGCTATTGTACAGGATATTGATAAGGCCACATTTGGCGTACTACATACAATTCTTTTCTCCCTGCCATAGGTAGGATGTTACTCAACTGGAGATGGTGTAGAAAAGATTTACAAGCATGTTACCGAGGCTGGAGAGTTTGAGTTATAAGGAGACACTGGATAGACTGGGACCTTTTTTTGCCCTGGATTGTAGGAGGCTGAAGGGTTACCTCATAGACATTTATAAAATCATGAGGGGCATAGATAAGATAAATAGCCAAGGTCTTTTTTGCAGGATATGAGAATCTAAATCTAGAGAGCTTAGGTTTAAGATGAGAGGGGAAAGGTGTACAAGGGACTTGAGAGTGGTGTATACATGGAATGAAGAGCTCGAGGAAGTGGTAGTGGGAAGTATAATTATAACCATTTGAAAGACATTTGGACAGGTGCATGAATATGAAATGCTCAGAGGGATATGGGCCAAATGCATGCAAATGGGACTAGTTCAGTTTAACAAACTTGGTCAGCATGGACGAGTTGGTCCAAAAGCTCTGTTTCTGTGCTGTGTGACTCTATGTATGCTTCACTTTCTGTTCAATTGTGAAAGGCACTGAACATTGCACAATTATCAAGGAACATCCCCAGTTTTGATCCCATGATGGTGAGAAGGTAGTTGATGAAAAAGCTTAAGCTGCTGGGTAATGATGAATCAATAATTTGACCAATTGATTGCACCAAATTCTGAGGTTAGATCAAAAATTTGAATGATTCTATTGATTTGACTCCATACTGATTGGTGACTGAATCTCCTAGGCTCCTGCACTTCCAGCACAAAGTATGATGTTCCCATTCTTGGTGTGACTGAGGACCATAGCCATAAACTGCAAGAGGATATCAGCAGACTGGTCAGATGGGTACAACAGGCAAATAGAAACCAATCCAGAAAAGTTTGGCCAATGTACTTTGTGGGGGAGAAGTTTGAGAAGACAAGGTTTTGCACTATTTTAGATCCAGTGTTGAATAATAGAGCAATGTGAATTATCAATCTCATAACAAATGATCCTTTGGGAAATAGTGATCATAATATCATTGGACTCGATTTAAGCTTGAGAGAGACATAACGAGTCCAAAACTTGTTAAACTTGAATTTAAACAAAACCAAGTATATGGATGTGAGAGGAAAACTGAATGAAGTTGATTTAACAATGATGCCAAAGGATATGAAAGCAAATAAACCTTGGAAAACATTTAAGGAAATAAACCACAAATCAATAACATGAAAATGTGAGTTGAGTGTAACTGTCCTTAACATAAAGGCCACAATTGTGACATCAAGGAACCTCAGCTAAACTTGACTGAATTGTCCCAGAGGGGAAAAGCTTCCGCTGGTTAGAGTCCCACCTGGCACATAGGAAGACAATTGTGGTTGTTGGAGGTCAGTCATTTCAGCTCCAGCACATTTCTGCAGGAGTTCCTCAGGATAGTGTCCTAGGCCTACCAATCTTTATCTACTTCACCTATGACCTTCCCTCAATCATTAGGTCAGAAGTCATACAGTCATAGATCATACAGCATGAAAACAGACCCTTCGGTCCAACCAGTCCATGCCGACCATAATCCCAAACTAAACTAGCTCCACTTGCCTGTGCTTGGCCCATATTCTTCCAAACATTTCTTATTCATGTACTTATCTAAATGTCTTTCAAGCATTGTAACTGTGCTGTCATTTACCACTTCCTCGCGAAGTTCATTTCACACACAAGCCACTCTCTGTGGGAAAAGAAAGGGCCTCATGTCTTGTATAAAGCTTTCTCCTCTCACCTTAAAAATATGCCCCTAGTCTTGAAATCCCCTGGCCTAGGGAAAAGACACCTGCCATTCACCTTATCGATACCCCTCATGATTTTATAAACCTCTATAAGGTCACCTCTCAATCTCCTATGCTCCCGTGAAAAATGTCTCAGCCTATCCAGCCTCTCTGCATAACTCAACCTCTATTCCTGGCAAAATCCTGGTAAATCTCTTCTGAACCCTTCCAGCTTAATAATACCCTGCCTATAACCAGGTGTCAAGAATTGGACACAATATTCCGGAAAAGGCCTCTCACCAATGTCCTGTAAAACCTCAATATCCCAACTCCTATACTCAAAGATCTGAGAAATGAAGGGAAGCATGCTAAATGCCTTCTTAACTACCCCATCTATATGTAATACAAACTTCAAAGAATTATGTACCTGAACCCCTTGGTCTCTCTTTTCCACAACACTAGCCAAGGCCCTATTTTTAATTGTAAACGTGTTGCCCTTGCTTAATTGTCAAAATGCAATTCCTCAAGTTTATTCAAATTAAAATCCATCTTCAGCCCATTTACTTAATTGGTCAAGATCTCTTTGTAATCTTAGATTACCTCCTTCCCTGTTGATTATACCACTAATTTTGGTGTCACCCACAAACGTTCTAACCATGCTTTCTATATTCTCATCTAAATAATTTATATAAATATAAATCTGTAGAAATGACAAATCAAAGTGGACCTAGCACCATACCCTGTCAGGGTTTTCACTTATGTTTGCACAATGTTCAGCACCATTCATGATTCTTCAGGTACTGAAGCAGTCCATGTTCAAATGCAATAAGATATGGACAATATCCAGGTTTAGGCTGACAAGTGGCAAGTAACTGTTGTGCCACGCAAATGTCAGGCAATGATCATCTCCGATAATCAAAAATCTGACCACCACCCCTTGACAATCAATAGCATTACCATCACTGAAACCCCACTATCAATATCATAGGGGTTATCATTGACCAGAAATTCATATGGACTCACCATACACAATTATACATACACTGGTTCCAAGAGCAGATCAGAGTCTCGAATCATTACACAAATAACTCACTTCCTGAATCCCCAAAGCCTGTCTACCATCTACAAAGCACAAGACAGGAGTGTGATGAAATACTTTCCACTTGCCTGGGGTAGTGCAGCTCCAACAACACTCAAGAGCTGAACACCATCCAGGACAAAGTAGCCCTCTTGATTGGCATCACATTCACAAGCACCCCCTCTCTCTCCTCCATCAATGCTCAGTGGCAACAGTGTGTACTATCTCAAAGATACACTGCAGAAATTCACCAAAAATCCTTAGACAGCACCTTCTAAACACACAACGTTTTCCACCTGGAAGGACAAGGACAGCTAACACATGGGAATACCACCACTTACAAATTCCCCTCCTAGCCACTCACTATATTAACTAGGAAATATACCACCATTTTTTCAGTATCACTGGGTCAAAAGTTTGGAACTCCCTCCCTAACAGCCTTGTGAGTGCATCTACATCCCAGGGACAACAGCAGTTTGAGCATGTAGCTCAGTACCACCAACTCCGGGCCAGTTATAGATCAGTAATAAATGCTGGGCTAGCTATCTATAACCTCATCCCATGAATGAAGAAGAAACAAAGTTCACCCTAAGAGAATATAACATTTAATCTGGCAGTCAGAGCCTCAGGCATGCTGCACTACTGTAATAGATTTGTATGTTTGATCATTACGTTGAAATCTAAGTTGGGGGAGTTGATCCAATGATCTTGTGACTCAGCGGTGATAGAACAGGATCAGCCATCACTGTGTTTTATTTACAGTAATTTTCTGAGAGCAAGGGAGTAGTTAGGAGAGAATTCAGGACAAGAAAATAAATCATTTCATCCAGCAGCAAACTGAAAAATAAAAGCTCCATTAGTCATCAGAATTTGATGATTATTTCATGTTGAATTTGTCTGATGCTGATATAGTGATTAGGAAAGTTTTAACAGAAAGGGCAGTGGAAGCTGGTTCAACAGTAAGTTTCTGAAGGGTAGATAACTGGAAAGGAGAGGCTTGGCTGTAGCAATGTTGTATTAAACACGTCAATGCCATCAGGCGCAATGTGTTTGAATGGTCCCCTATGTGCTGTAATATCTACAAATCAGTGAATTTGTACTGAAAAGTATTAAAATAAAAATCCTGGATCTGAATAACCATTCAGTATGCCCCATGTCAGCATGTGGAAGGAATAACTGAAAATGATTCTTTGGGTGTTTTGCAGCTTGAATGGTAGTCAGTTGACTGGATACCTGCTGTGCAATGCCAATAATGTCAGTTCAATTTCCAAATCAGCTAAGGTTAACATGAAAGACTTCTACTCCTCAATCTATCCCCTTGCCTGGGGTGTGGTGACCCTCAGCTAAAAGTCACCACCGGTTGTCGCTCCCTCTGCAATAGACAGTGGCAATATGCTGACTTCACAACAATTTGAACAGTCGCATTTCATCATGTACTTATTTTGATGGGCATGAACTAAAAATCTTTGCAAGATGTATCTTTTTACAGCCGTACTCTAATTTATGTTCAACCAAGCGACAATTTCAATCATTTTTATTGGAAAGAAATGAAAAACACCAAAGTTCTCAAGATAAGACAGTAAAAGTGGCACAGCAGGTAAGTGTGACAGAGGTGGGGTAAATGTGGCAGATAATGTAGTGTCACTGCCTCTGCCCCAGAAGTTCCAGGTTCAAGTCCCACTCCAGGACCTGATGGCTAAGGATGGTGAGCTCTGAAGCTGCTCAAACAGGATGATTATCAGTCTGAAGAAGGGTCTTGACCCGAAACATCAGCCTTCCTGCTCCTCTGATGCTGCTTGGCCTGCTGTGTTCATCCAGCTCTACACCTTGTTATCTCAGATTCTCCAGCATCAGCAGTTCCTACTATCTCTGATTATCAGTCTGTACATTTTCCCATAAATGCCAACAGCGGTTGGTTGGAGCAGGAGCTGATCCCTTATGAGCTGGAGCCTTAGCTACAAGGGTCCATTGCTCCAATCAACAACAAGCATGGGCTGGTTTATACAAAAAACAGGAAGTGCTGGAGATACAAGAGCTCTTCTGACCCAAGGGTCACCAGACTCGAAATGTTGACTCTGTTTTTCTCCCTGTCTCTCTCTCTCTCTCCATAGATGCTGAGTTTCTCCAGCACTTTCTGCTTTCGTTTTCAGATTTCCTGCATTGGCAGTTCTTAGTTTTATTATTATGGATAAGTTCATGTTGTCACAGCCACTGGAACTCATGGAGCCCACAGCAAAATGATATGAATTCTAGTTTGTAGAAACAATATGCAGCCAGTAAGACAGGTTGTAGCTTTGGATTCTCGATGGAACTGCTTAGCACGGAGAAAGTGAGTCTCACCACTAACTTGGTGCACAGTCAGACTGGAAGCATGAGAAATAGAAGCAGGAGTAGACCATTCAGCCTCTTGAGACTGTGCCACCACTTGATACGAGCATGGCTGATCTCATCTGGACCTGAACTCCACTTTCCTGTCCAGTCCTATAACCCTTCGTCCCATTACTAATGAAAAATCAGTCAATTCCTTCCTTCTTTAAATTTATTCAATGTCCTGGTATCCACCACACTACCACTGGGGTAGTGAATTCCACAGGTTCAAGGTCCCTCCCCCTTTCAGAGAAGTAATTTCACCTCATCCCAGTTTTAAATCTCCAATTTCCTTATCCTAAAATGGTGACCCCTCGTTCTAGATTGCCCCACATGAGGAAACATCCTCTCTACATTTACCATGTCAATCCTCTCCAGTATCTTATATTCGTCAATTAAATCTCACTCATTCTTCTAAACTCCAGCAAGTATAGGCTTGGGGAGGCAATGGCCTAGTGGTATTATTGCTGGACTGTTAATCCAGAGACCCAGGTAATGTTCTGGGGACCTGGGTTCAAATCCCACCGCGGCAGATGGTGGAATTTGAATTCAATAAATATCTGGAAATAAGAATCTAATGATGACCATGAATCCATTGTCAATTGTCGGAAAAACCCATCTGGTTCACCAATGTCCTTTAGGGAAGGAAGCTGCAATCCTTACCTGGTCTGGCCGACATGTGACTCCAGATCCACGGCAAAATGGTTGACTTTGAACTGCCCTCTAGGCAATTAGGGATGGGCAATAAATGCTGCCTTGCCAGTGATGCCCTCATCCCATGATTGAATAAAAAATAATTGCTCAATCTCTCCTCATAAGCCAAACACCTCATCTCTGGAATTAATCCAGTGAACCTTCATTGAACTACCTCCAATGGAACTCCACCCTCGTGTAAGTAAGACACTCAAAACTGTACACAGTACTCCAGGAGCAGTCTCACTTTTACAGTTGCAGCAACACTTCCTTATTTTTATACTCTATTCCTTTGGCAATAAATGCCAAATTCGATTTGCTTTCCCTATTATAGGAAGGAGAGATGCTCTGAATAGGCCACTGTCTGTGTCCCATTGAGCTACAGTTTCAAGTGGAAGAGCTTCAGCACCTCTTTAGTCACTGTCTCCGGGAAAGGCAGGAAGAATGGGTAAATCTTCTCTGTGAACGGGCTTGTGGAGGTGTAGAGATGTGTCATGTCATCGCCATTATAAAAGGACACCTGCCCTTCCTTGTGGTCCACATAGACTCCCACCCTCCTCAGATTTACGTTTAAGCAGCACTTGGATTTCGTTGTGTGCTCAGGGCCATAGACATTTCCATTCCACTTTCTCAAGGTCCAGAACCCATTTGAGGGCGTCAGCGAAACAGCCCTGTGCCTGTCCACGGACTCCTTCGCCACACCAACAATCCACTCATCAATGCTCTCCACGTCGACCTCCCAGTAGTGTTTGCCTGAAGTGAACCCTTCCCGCGTCAGCACGCAGCCGTAATTACTAAACCGCTTGGGACTGCTTGGCATGTCTTTCAGCTTCAAGCAGCCCTTCACCATTGTTTGGTCCTTAGAGAGGACAAGGTCCAAACTTGCTGACTCTGAGTCCAGTGTCAATGGGGCAGGAACTGTAATCGAGAGAGAAACAGATTATCTTCAGGTGCAATTGAAATATAAAAGAACAAGCTTTATCCCAATCAGAGTCTGCAAGTTCAAAAGAACATTAGACCAATTTTAGATGTTTTAAGAGACCCATATCTTTTAACTTGCTGTATCTTAGGAAAGAAATAGAAAAAGAATTGTTTTGTTCACCAAAGCTTGTATAAGGAATTGCTGCAAGCTGCTGAAACTCATTGTGAATCATGTTTACACTGCTGCTTTGCCCAAGTAGTGCAGAGGAGCGGTGAGGCTATTGGTACATAGGCTGACACTAGGGTGTGTGTACAAAATGAGGTTCGGCCAGTGGTTTGTGAAGGTATGACCAATTCTGGATGACAAAGGCCACCAGCCTGAGAACTGAATCTGATTGGCTCCTGAGTAGCTGGACAGCTTCTCCGTGAGAACGATACTGGAATAAGCTTTCAGACGGCTGCAAGAGGCAGATGGTATGTGAAATAACTCCACAGAGGCCCGTATCCTGTCACCAAGTTATCCTTTGTTTACACATGAGAGTCCTTGACACTGATTCATCTGCCTCAGAGCTAGCTCTCAGAGTGAGCAGAACCTCTGATACTCCTGTTTATATCTGTCAGCCAGTGCTCCCAAATTGGACCAGGTTAACAGCCCCAATCAAGGAACTCGTATTCTATGAGGTCCAACTGGCTGACTTTGTTAGAATCACTGCTGCGTTTAGTGAAACGCCTAGTACCTGAAGAAAGTCAGTTTATTTTCCCCCATCAGTTGCTGTAAGTAACTAGTAACTAAGAGATTTTGCAGTTAGTGTGTGCCTCCTGTGAAGAAGTGAAAAGAACCTGGAGATGAGAAATTGAAGAAGAGAAAATCCTGCCCACCTAAAAAATCATCTCAGTAGGTAAGGGCCAGTGAATTGCTTCCCCAGTTATTTTTCCCTGCACCCATAACACCATTTTTTTTTGCACTATCTATATGTGTGTTTAGGGGAGTTTATATGGGGATGGTGGGGGGGGGGGGGGGGGGGAACGGGTTAGGGTTTTAACAACTAGAGTCATATGTCAACAGACCACAGTTGTTTGCCTGTGGTTAGAATCTACTTATTTGTAATGAATAGTAGTCCTTGTGATGACACGAACCCGGTCTATGTTATCTTTTAGCCTGGGACTGTACAACAGGCAAATTGAGCACTTTGTGACTTTGATCAAATTTGTAATTTTGTGATAAATCTGGGAATAGTGAGGCTTGATTTCCAGTATGTTAGTGCACCCCTCCCCCCCACCCCCAACCGTGAAATGTGACAAGCAATAACAGTCTTAGAAGGAACACAATATAGAGTTGCAGGTGGACACAGTGTTCTTTTGGTTTGCACCTTAATCAGGACTTAGTTCTCAAAGTGCTATTCTTGTGAGAGTTTAATGTCATTGGAAGAGGGTGTGCAGGAAGCAGAATGAACAGGAGAGGAGCAAGAGAGATGAGAGACAGATTAAGGGGGGGAGAGTGAGATGATGAGAGAGGAGAGGGGGGCAGAAGATAAGATGGTGAGAACAAGAAAGGGGCAGCATGTGAGTGAAGAGAAGAGGTGGAGGGGGGAGAGAGAACCAGAGAAGAGAAGTGAAAGAGAGGAGACGAGGGAGAGAAAAAAAGTGGAGAGGTAAAAAGAGGAGAGAATAACAGAAGAGAGGAGAGGAAGGTGAAGTGAGGAGAGGAGATGAGACGAGAGGAGGAGAGAAGAGGGGGAGACGGAAGAAAACGATACCTGGGCTGATAACATTCAGCATCTGTTTCCATACTGTGTACTGCAGAGGTCCATTAAACTCCCCCAGATTCAGTTCAGGCATCTTTAGAACAGGTTTTGTCTGCGAGTCGCATCTGGAAAGCAAAAAGAAGTTTATCAATAAAAACCAAAGTTGCTTCAGCAAAGAAGCTGAATTCGGATTACACAACAACACATTGGGCTAAAACGGGTTTTGTGCGGCAGGTGGGGAAGAAGCGATATAAAATGGGTATTGCACCTCAACAATCTCCCTTCACCCTGTATCAGACCCCTTGCAGTCCCTGTCCTGGGAGTATTTGATGGGGGCACTGTAGAGGCAGTGTACCTAAGCCATATTGTCCCTGTCCTGGGAGTAACTGTTGGAGTTAGTGCAGAGAAAGCTTTAGTCTGTATCTAACTCCATGCTGTACCTAACCTGAGAGCGTTTGATGGGGACAGTGTAGACAGAGCTTTACTGTCCATTGAATCCATTCTGTGGCATGTTTGGAAAACATTAGGAGTGCCCTCTTGATGGGGAATTTTGTGGGATGATATTGACAAAGTGAAAGCGGGAACAGGAAATATAAATTAACTGATACCTTACCCACCTCTGAAGAATGCTTTTGATCTCCTGAAAAAGAAAACAAAGGAACATTGACTTTAAGAAGGTGCAATTATCTTGCAACTTGCTAACAACGTACCGTGTAATATGGAAACATTATTCTGAAATTAGGGACGCTTTACCCATGATTCATGCATCCCAACACTCCATTCCACCTGTTGACAGGGTTAGGACAGTTGATCAGATTCCTACTTGGATGAATCTACACATCCTTCAATGAAGTAGTATCAAACACTGCTAGACACTCTATAAACCCCTTATAAAATTATCAACCCCAAATCAAACCCCTCTCACCTTCTTCTATTCCAAAGGAAATAAAAAACCCACATTACCAAATCATTCCCCTGCCTAAACTTTAAATTTCCACAAACTTCTTTGATTTCATGGGCGTGGGCCTCACTCTCTGGGTCAGCATTTATTGCCCATCCTTAATTGCCCTTTGATGTGAGTGGCTTGCTAAGGCCATTTCTGAAGTTAGTTAAGAGCCAACACATTGAAATGGGTCTTGCCTGACCAGATTTCCTCCCTTAAACAGAATTAGCAAACCAAGCATCTTTTTTATAATAAATGAAAATGGTCACCATTATGCTTGCTTTTAACTCCTTTTTTTGTCAAAAATATTAAATTCTAATTGCCACCATCTGCCATGTTAGCATTTGAATCCAAAGCACCAGGGCATTAGACCAGGGTTGTAGAGCCATTAGTCCATTGGCATTGCCACAACGGCATCTGGCAAGGGTTTTACGTGCAGTTCTGGTATAACCTGCTCCTATACCAATAAAGGGAATTTTCCCGTCTGTCTTTTTAAACATCTCAGCTTCTTGTCCTTCTGTTCTTGAGTATCTGTGGACATGCAACCTCCAGTCACGGAGCTCCCCTCGACTGGTCTTGACAGCAGTGTCAAATAAAAATCAAACAAAACTGCGAAAGAGGTGCTGCATTCACTTGGAGTGGCGTCTGGCTGTAGAGGAACTTTCTGAGGCAGTGGAGACCTGGACTCCATAAAAAAAGCCAAAAGAACTGCGGATGCTGTAAATCAGA